AGTTTGGTCTTACTAAAGGAAAACTGCTCCCAAATGAAGAGATTATAAATGCCAGATTTTAATCCACTAAAATGAATGCAACCTGATCAGAATGGAAATGCTAATAACTTAGACTACATGCAGAATTACTGGAATTACTTGTAAGAAACATCTGTTTTAACTGTCAGGCGCTGGTCCTGACTAGCCTTTGAAGACAATACTGTGCTACCTTGACTTCTGCTTTCTTGCTACATCACAAAGCACTGTAATCCAAAAGCCAGATAAAACAGACAGAAAGCTAAATTGTAAATCCATATGAACACAGGAGATGGGTGTCTCAGTGGAAAAAATAACAGTTACATAAGCATATTTGCCTTCTTCTGGAGTATTCATTGTGAGTAGCTCCTTCACCAGCTTATCCAGGAAACATACACAATATAAGGAAAGTTAAATGTAACTTCAGGAGGCTGCAGCAGAAGTTTGGTGGCCAGTTTCAGGAAGACCTCGCTAACAGCAAGACCTTTAAGAATAAAGCCTTTCAACTGACTGGCTTCAAAGAGCTCAAGCACATGCTCAAATTTAGGCAGGATGATACTACAGAAATAGATTTCACCAGGTGTCTGAATGTCTTCAGGAATACAGGGAACATGTCAGGGAGAATGGGGGAAATATTCACACGGGAAGGAGGAGAAAGGACATTTCACATAGGTGGTTTGAATTGTTAAGAAACACCAATGACTGCATCTGTGATCCAAGCTCTAAAAATAGAGATTTACATGAGATGCCTAAAGTTAGATCGCATGAATTCTCCCCAATAAACTAAGGACTGCAGAAAATAAGAACATTCCATTAATCGATTTTAAAACAGTAAAGAAAATACTAACAACTAACACAAATAATAAATATCAAACTCTTGGGACATTTAATAAACATGCACTTAAGGTCACAATCAAAGCACCAGCAAACACCTGTAAATTCATGACTGCCTAGCAAGGCGAGCGCACAAGCCCACCTAGCCCAGCCCAGCCCAGCCCAGGACTACAGCTAGTATGAGCATTAGGCAAGAGTCTGGAAAGCGCTGCTGGCTTCCCAAGCATTTCTAGAAGAAACAGCATCTGGGCAAGCAGCCAGGCAACAGGCTCCTCTCGAAGGGCCTGGGAGGGCTATTGCAGAACACAGCACAGTCTGAAATGCTGTAGAGCCCGTTCTGCTGAGTTTGTCCCATAAAAGGAAACACTTATGTCAGTTGTACTGGTATGGGGGGTATGGTTGGGTACCCCAAAACAGGGTACATGAAACGTCCTGCATCCACAACACGCAACCATAAATGTCCTCAATAGTTTACTTTCTACATCTCCCTTCCTGATAATTTGTCACTTTAATGTCAGTAGAGTGGATTCTTTGGACAGCTGATATTTTAATTAAAAACAGAGGAAGAGGATTATACTAATGAAGCAGAGCTCAAGAGATCATATTATGTTATTGAAGCTGATGTTCCTCTATTTGTTTCAGCAGGGGCTAGGTCATACCAATTTTTCCAACCTTAAGCTGTTGTCCTCAGTCTTTAGGATCCTGACACGTAGTCTGATTCCACACTGTGCCTTCAGATGTCTAATTTAATCATGTGTTTATTATCCAAACCAGATGTGTTGTCCGTGCCGTGTTTCTCTCTACAGATCTGCTTGTGTTTAAGCCACGCTCTCCCCCATCGACTGGGAATGCAATGAAGAGGCTGGGCGAGGGTTTGTCTCCCAAGACCCACAACTCCAGCCCTACTAAAGGGAATTCCTGCCTTGCTCTGTTGCTCACTAACAACTCTATTGCTCACTAATAACTGACCGAGAGCAGAGCTGGGCGGCAGGAGCTGCCAGGGTGGCTGCAGGCAGGGATGGGTGACCCCGCTGGTCTGCCTGCTTACTGCAAAACCAGCGTGGATGCTCTCAGGCCAGCCAGGATGACACCAAACTGCCAAAACCGTTCTTACTTTAAGTGGGAAAGCTACCAAAACCTTTCTTTATGTGGTAAAAAGCACATCCATAATTCAGAGAGCTGTTAAGAAAAGCTATTGATTAGCTTTAACTTTCCCATGATCTCTAAAGAGGCGTTTCAGCTATGAAAACACACCCAGATTTCATACTCAGAAGTGCTTTTCATCTGCCTTAGGTCAATAAAACTGGTTTTGTCATTGATTTCTACCACAGAAAACAGGGAGATTGCAGAGGCAAAACTGTAGCCATTTATAGTAAAGTTCAGGAATCTGTCACAAATCTACTATTTTCATGTAAATCCATTCCAGTAACTTTTCATTTTGGCCATACCAACAACACCAGACAGACTCTTCTCAGACAATAATTGGAAAATAAGACACATTTGGCAGTAATGTGCAAACCAAAGGGGATGTTCAGAGGAAATAACATCAGAGGTTGGAAAGGTGGCAGAGGCATTCACCAACTGAAACTAGATTCAGGCAACAAAGGTTTGCAATACAGAGACCAACCTATGAAACTTCAATTTATATCCATGATTTCAACTTTAACACATTGTTTCAAGCTTAATGTCTGTATGCAAAGGCTGGAAGCACAGACATATGTCAAACCACATTGAAAAGCAAGTACTTTGAAAATACTAGGCATTAGAAGAAAGAAGTTTATAACAAATGCCAAGAATTGCCACAGTGCTTTTCTCCAGAGTAATCCAGAAAAGAACATGGAAATACTTGAGGTACATGAAAAACGGAGCAAGGCCCCTGGCCAGGTTGCACATACCATTAGGCACCTGAAAGAATATGCAGGAGACAACTCCACTGAAATAAAGTTGGGGAACTGCCATTACCTGTTCTTGGATTTTGTCTCATTCTGCTGCTATGTGATTTTAACCTCTCCTCAAAAGCTAGAAAGAAACCTAGAAGGAGGCAATGGGCAGAGAGGGAACACGGCACCCCAGGGACTGGAGTTCAATATGTTGCTCTGCAACAGACTTACTGCACAACCTTGGGGCACTCGCTGCAGCCAGATGCTTCAAGGTGTGGAGGTAATGCCTCCTGCAGGAAGGCTCCAAAGAGACGGGCAGAAAGGAACATTCAAACATCATTTGCCTATCCTAAAATAAAATATTGTGGTGATTTATAGTCTCCAGAAATTAATACAAGCTTTTCCATTGAGTTAACTGCAAATTCAAGTGGCCCTAAGCCCATTTGCTTTCTACTTCTGCTGAAGGTCACCTGATTATTATCTTTGTTTTTCTATTTGCAATGAGTATGTCACTTAGGACTATTTACATGACTGAAATTCTGCATATGTTCATGGAAAGAGCCATTTAAATTACTAAAGATAGGAAATAGCATCTGCCTACATAGGGTAGCTAACCCTGAGCTACACACAGTTTAAGTAAGGCTACCATGACCACGGTGCCAGCGCTCTGATGATGCTCTTCCATGTGATTCTGCAGCAACCAGTCATCACAGGTCACTTAACAGCATTTTGCCTAAGTCATTTTAACTGACAAGAGCAGAAAACCAGATACTCTTCCTCAAGCAGCTTCCTCCAATTGAATCATTTACGAGTGCCACTGAATGCTGACCTGGCTTCATTCCCTTGCATAAGTAACCAGCTGTGTAAGGAACAGCATTTTATAAACATTTTGTCATTTATACATGCAACACAAGCCCTTGGACCTTCAGAACCTTCATCCATGCTTTTGCTTAACCATGGCTGCATTTTATCACAAGTCACTTCTCTGTGCACGAGATGTCCTTGCTCTGGGCAACACCAGCATCCTCGGAGCGGGAGGCATCCCATGCGCTCGTGACAGCGGCAGCACGGGGCTGTGCCAGCCGGCACAGGCTTCTCCTCCACCTTGCAGCACGAGGGAACATGGAAGGAGAGCACGGGGTCCTGCCCAGCTCTGCTCTGCCCAGAGCAAGCGCCAAGGTACCACTCTTGCTCTTGCCTTTGGACAGCTCTCCACGTCACGGAATTACAACATAAAACATCCCTGCTGCTGGAAACAGCAATGCACACAGCTAGGAAAAACCACAGGAAAGGAAATAGTAAAGACAGAAGGACTGGATTCCCTTCCCTTCTCTGAGAGACAACGTTATCTCCATGCATGTTACCTTGGCACAGCAAGTGAGCAACTTTCTGTGACTAAATAAATAGGAATACAATTGATTCACCAGGGTTTTTAAGCAGAGAACACAATGCATTCAAATTAAGTAACTTAAAAATTATCAACTCTAAGAAACAGTAAGATTTTTTTGCTAGATTAGCTGTTCATTGTCAAAAATATTACTGTATATTACTCAATATACAAATTGCTACCTACTAATTGCTCATCAAGCAAAGGCACACTCATGTAGAGGGTCCGGGACAAACCGTTTTAATGTGACTCCTGAACATGTGCTCCAGAAGAGAAAGCTGCAGCCAGCTTTAAACACAGAGCTGCACAAAACCCATCACAGGGAGCTGGTTTGTTTGTAAAACTCCGTCTCTTCTGCTGCTTTCCATCAATCATTTGATTAAGCAATAAAACTCACTCAGTGAAAGATCCATGAAAACCGACTCTGAACAAATTGAATTTTCAAGGCAAAAAAGCACCCTCCCTGTGAAATTTGTTTACAGAGCAGTCCAGCCAATTATTCAGCATTAACTCGCCTAAAATTTCTCCTCTTCACTTCTCCGACTGGAAGTGAAGAGAGGAAGAGGATTTCCAGGACAGCACGTTCAGCCCTCAGCTTCCCAAGTGCCGGGTAGCTCGGGAACTTCAGCACGGAGCGCCGCGCGCCGTGGCTGCCTCGGACCCCGTCTCGGAGCGCTGCTGCCGAGCACACGCTCCAAACCCCTCGTGCTGCTCCATGCACAGCAGTGCCTGGTGCACACAGCGACTCCCACACAGGGGAATGGGAGTTGATTTGCACTCACGGACACCGTATGAAGCGTGAGTTTACGCCAGTCCACACATTTTATATTTAAATACTGTAGGATTAATGGCATTATATTAGAAAGAATAACAAAGCCACTTACCAGCCCGTCGCAATTGCTGATAGCGACCGAAGCATTTGGCAGATCAGTGATATCCCCAACATAGAGGCAATTCCCATAGAGAGGTTCGATGTGAGTCTCTTCGGAGTCCTCCTGCCATTCAACTGTTGCTCCGGGGGCGACGAGCCTGGAGTTTGGCCGCAGCCTGAAGTGAAACTCTCTCCCAAACACAGTGACATTGTAAAATATCTGCTCGTTGGGCGCTTCACGTTGCGAGTCCTCCGCAGCCCTTCGGAAGCGCGCTTTTGGCGGTCCCGACACCAAGTGGGATAGGAACCTGCCCTCTGCATCGGTGCTGGTGGGGATGACAAGGCTGTACTCCTCTATATTCCTCAAAATGGGATCTGCGTGGGAGAAAGAAGGCAAGGAGAGAGAGACTAGAACCCTGTGTCTCCTGATGCCGTGGGGTTTTTATTCCGTTATTCCTTAACACAGCAGGCACTTACATAAGGCGGGGGACTCGGCACACTCTGCTGCCGGGCGGGAAGTGTGCGGAGTTCATTCAAACTGCCCCTGGGCCCCGAGCGCGCCCGCCCCGCAGGGACCCCGCGCGCTGCCCCGCGGCCCCGGCCCGCTCCGTGCCCGGGGACGCTCCGCACGGCGGCTCCCAGGGGCTTGCGGTGCAGCGGGCAACTCTGCAAGGGGAAGCGTCTCCCGCACGGAGCTGCGAGCGCCGCGGGGGCAGCCGGAGCCCGGCAGTTTGGGACGGCGGCGGTGGCCGGAGCCGGGACAGGAGCCGGGGCAGGAGGCAGGGGAGCTGCCATGTGCTTCTCCCCGCCCGGGCGGCGCTGGCCGCTGCGCGGGCAGCGCTGTCACCGCCGCTCGCCAACAACAACTGGCAGCGCGGCAAAAGTGCCCGCACAAGTTGCGGCGCGGGGCGCGGGGCGCCGCTCGGCAGCGGCCCCGGGCGGGCACCTACCTGTGTGCGCGGGGCGCCGGCGGGCGCCGGCGGGCGGGCAGAGCGCCC